TGTGAGTAAAATGGTGAGTTGAAATAGACTCGCAATACAGTAATGTGACATTACTGTATTGCGTATATATAATCATTATATATACGCAATACAGTAATGTCACATTACTGTATTGCGAGTCTATTTCAACTCACCATTTTACTCACATTAAATGCGAGTAAAATTATTTTATACATACATTATAATAATATATATACATATATATATGTAAATATACATTATAATAATGTATAATAATATACATTATAATAATGTATATACATATATATATGTAAATCGTAACCTATATATGTATATACATTATATATGCATATATATAATGTATATACATATATAGGTTACGATTTATAGGTTATATAATACATAGCTTATATATTATAAGTAATTTATATGATATAGCATTAATTATGTATAGTATTACTATAAATTTCTTATGTTATAATGTATAAATTACTTATAACATAAAAGCTATACAACTTATAATATACATTATTATAAAATACATTACTTATAGTTTTATTTATCACGATACTGTATTGTGGGTAATTATAATGAAAAGTCATTTGATATGTCTTTGCAAATGGCGGACACATGTTTTTAATGGTAGAAGATAAAAAATAAAGAAAACTTAAATTAAACATTTTTTTCTCTATAACAGGACTTCAAAAGGCTTATTTATCTTGATACTTTGCATAATTTTATTTTTTTACTTCTAATTTGGATTCCATTTCTTAAAAGTGTGTTATGAAACCGCAAACACAAAACCAATATTTAAAAATAATTTCTGATAACGCTTCATTTATTTATCTGGTTATTTTCCTGGTATGGCCATACCATTATTGCTAAAGCAATCCAGTTTTGACCAATTGAGCTATGTAGGCGTTAGTCCATAAAGAAGCCAATCCTTGTTGTTTGTAACCTATTTAGTTTTGACTTGAAACAATTTAGGGAAGTGACTGTTACAGTATTGTTATGAAGTAAGTTCCAGCGGTTGACTACACATTCCGATAAGATATTCTATCCACAATATTTTATGTGTGGAGGAACTAATGATTTATATAGTTATAACATAATGTTAGATTGTTTATAGGCAATGGTGTGATTTATCATTCCCATAATTTTGTTTGCATTTTCAAAAGCCCCCATGCTTTGGTTAGATGCTTTCAAATCATGTGATATCACAACCCTAAGGTTTCAGTCTCAATTTCTTCTAAAATAACCCCATTTATACTGTATTCATAACCAATGTTCTTTTTGATATGATATGAAATGAAAGTGAAATGAAAATGAAAAAGTCAATCGACAAATAACAATAAAGAAATCTTAATTTTGACTTCCTTTAATTTTCACCTCACTATTTTATTTAAAGATAAATATCATATTCAGTAACCCAACAGTTTTGAAACTCAAATTATAAGTTTATATAATGCTTTTAAATTTTTTTTTTTTTTTTTTGCGGAGCAAAAATTTATTGAAAGATTTCTAAAAAAGTCTAGCATAATTTCATATAATGATGAAACTTTTTTATCTTTCAGTTCAGTGACGCAACCTAATTTTTTGCATACGTGTATGTGTTTTTTGCAGACGTGTAATCTATTTGTTTGAAAAAGAGCACTTGAATTATTTTTAAAATCTAAAAGTTTTTTATTCAAGTCATATATTTAATCTAGAAGAACCTTTTTAAATGAAAAAACAGATATATATTTTTAAAAATGTTTGATATACCTGTCTTTAAGTTTTATTCGCTTTTTCAAATAGTATAAAGAGAAAACAACCGCTTACTTTTGTCACATTTAACTTCTTTGTACAAATATTTTTGACTCGAAATTTAATTAATAAGAAACTTCATTGTTTTTAAACTATAGTTAAAGAAAAAAAGTTTTTGAAAAACAAAGTTTTTTAAAATCAAATTTGCCTCTTCCATCCTGGAAATAGCCTTATAAATAACACATAGATATATTTTACAGTGCCACTGTATAATAGATTCCAAATATAGTATACTTAGTGACAAAACATATAGAATATATATTAATAACAATGTTAGTAATCAAATATGTAGTATACATATAACCATTTTTTAGAAATTTAATTACCTAGGTCACATAATTGAAAATAATTTAACTGATAATGCTGATATAAATAGTTATATTTAATGTCTATTTACACGTACAATTATTCTTAACAGACGATTTAAAAGATGCTCAGTAAAGTTAAAAATACAGTTGTTTAAGGCGTACTGCCTCTTTATGATGCATTTTTGTGGCTTAACTTTAGTGTAAGTACTTTTTCAAATCTACAATCTTGTTACAAGAAATGTGTTAAAATATTTTTTAACTATGACAAGTACTCAAGTTATAAAAATATGTTTACGCTGCTCTTGATACTTAACTGCTTAACTGCTGACATTTTAAAAATCAGCTTGTCGCCTGCGCCAGTAATTTTAATGCTAATAATAACGCCAGTAATAATAATTGTTAATTGATTGTTGTTGTTGTTGTTTATTTGTGTTTTTTTTACTATAAACCTTGTATTGTACTTGTTGTCTGAAATAAATGAGTTATTGTATAATTATTTTTGAAATATATCATAGCATGATTGTTACCATAATTTATATCATGCTATGTAAAATTGACTATGTAACAAGCATGTTCAAATATATTATAATACACAAAAAGTCAAGCTTGTGTTATTGGAACCAGTTAATTTTTTATACTTGTAGGTTTAGAATGGAGGATAATAAACTGCATCGCAAGACAAAGAAGGACTTATGGTTAGAAGTGGTTTTTAGCAAGGCGCAAAGAAAACAAATTGTTAATTTGTGTCATAGCGAACCTACTGCTAGACATCTTGGTAGAACACGAACTTTCTACAAGGTTGCAGAACGATTTTACTGGCCAGGAATTTTCAAAGATGTAGAAAATGCTGTATGTTTGTTACATTTATATATATATATATATATATATATATATATATATATATATATATATATATATATATATATATATATATATATATATATATATATATATATATATTATATATATATATATATTATATATATATATATATTTATATATATATATATATATATATATATATATATGTATATATATATATATATATGTATATATATATATATATATATATATATATATATATATATATATATATATATATATATATATATATATATATATATACAACACCCTTGAATATTTCTCGGGTCCCTAATATTTTCAGAAAAATAGTTTCTTTCAAGTAGGTCACGTTTGGTCTTAAATGAAGCAAAATTTTATTAAAAAATTTTAAAATAATAATTATTTCATAAAATAAAATGTTTCTTCAGATTTTTTTTGCCATAGATGGCAAATAAGAAAAAAGTGGAAATGTTTTTATATTTTTGTTGCAGAAAAATCTAAAGTAATGTTTTTTTTATAAAATAATGATTATTTTAAAATTTTGTTATAAAATTTTGCTTCATTTAAGACTAAACATTACCAACTTTTAAAAAACTACCTTTTTAAATATTTTAGGGACCCGTTGGATATTTAAGTGTGTTGTGGGACCTCTAAAAATATATTTTCTTCCAAAATATTTGAAATCCAGCGTTTTTTTAATATATAAAACACAATAAAGTGTCAGACAAAATCAAAATAAATTTAAATTGTTGTTTTGTGATGCACCCTAATATATATATATATATATATATATATATATATATATATATATATATATATATATATATATATATATATATATATATATATATATATATATATATATATATATCAGGGATAATTTAATTTTTTATTAGGTACCGGACATAATGTCAGACAAAAATTTAATTTAGTCGGACAATGTCCGATAAAATTTTTTATGACGAGCAATGAATAAGCAAATTTTTATGATGAGCATGAAAGAGCAAATTTTTTTTAAATTGCATATTCTGGCTTTTATTAAAGCCTTTAAAACGTTACAATCAGGCTTGTGGAGCCGAGCTGAGACAAAGCCACAGCCGCAAAAATCTAGCGGCTCCAGGATACTGATTTTTTTTTTTTAAATATGCAAACTTTAATGTTTATTTAAGCAAAATTAATATTTTTTAAAAAAAAATCATAGTTGCAATTATTGCACATTAAATTCCATATCCGACGCCAAGCTGGAGCTGTATATTTTTTAGGAGGCGAGGCCGAGCCCTTAAAAAAACTAATAACTCCACTGGTTACAATAAATTAATTTTTCATTATGAATTTAAATAAATATTTTATTATTTATTATGATTTTTTTATAATTTTTAAAAATATTTTAGCTTCCAAAACTTCTTTTAAATTCAATTTAGTTACCATTTTTATGTTGTATTTTAATGCTAGCAGAAATCAGTAAGCAATGTAAAAAACTACTTTGCGTTTAAGTTTAAAATTAACTCGAATAATTTAAAGCAACATTAATCTTCACGCTTTTTCTCTTTAAAGTTACAGATTCCATTCATTGAGCCAATTAAAAGTAAATATTTATTTTACATAACAAATAATTTTTTAAAACGTTCACTTTTTCGTCAGGATTACATTTAATTTTATTGCATTTTTGAAATGCAAATCAGGCTTGCATGCAAATGCTCCTGTCCTTGCCTGAATTTTTATATTTAACAATAAGTTTTAGTTATTCATCTTCATATCATACTCACAAGAATAAATATATTCTTGTAACTATGTTTTTAAGAATTCAAAATCCTACCAGTCAAAATGTTCGAATACTTCGTAATTTGATTGGACAATTTCCAATTTTAGTCGTTTTTGTTTTATATATATATATATATATATATATATATATATATATATATATATATATATATATATATATATATATATATATATATGTTAGTATATTCTATAAAAATGCAGTTCTATAAAAATGTATGTACAATATATCATAAATCATTTTTGAAAAAAAAGACCTTACTTAGTAAGTAATGTTTTTCTTTCTCTTTTTTTAAAATCATTTTTAGTAGTGATAGCTCTGAAATGTTAGATGGCTATCATACTTGTAAACAGTGTATGTTTTTTTAAATAAGGTGATAGTGTATCTATAATTTTTATTATGTGATTTTTTTAACTTTATTCTTAAATAATTTTTCATTTAAGTCTTGTGACATCAGTATTAATACATAACATATTTGTTATATAATATTATTATTATTATTGTTATTATTATTATACACTGCAAGGAGAGAAACCCCTGGAACAGAACATGAGTACATGTTCTGCTATAAGCAGATCAAAGGCCTAGTGCCGGTCATTTGTAATTGTTATATCTTAGTTTGATTTTTTTTCAAAAAAAAAAACTGCTTTTAAAACTTTTAACACTCAGCATACAATATACGAAGATTTGAAAAAACTCGTCCAGAGCTGCATCCTATTAAAGTTTAGTCACCATGGTTTCATATTGGAATCGATTTAATAGGACCACTTCCTGAAACATCAGCAGGAAATAAACATATCCTCGCTATCTCTGATTATTGCACAAAGTGGGTAGCTGCATTTCCCCTTAAATCAAAATTAGCCAGTGGTGTTGCAATAGCATTATATAAGGTAACTTTAAATGTTATCTTTATGTATAATATTATTGGATTGCAGTGAATTTATTTGTTATGTTTGCAATGATATAAAAATGTTTAATATTTCAGTTGTTCATGCAGATGGGTATACCAAAAGTTGTTACCTCTGACCAGGGCACAGAGTTTTACAACCAAATAAAAAGGGAACTTATGTCACTGCTAAATGTGAAGCATCAGTTTACCACAGCTTATCATCCACAGGTTTTCAAATCTGAATTGAGTTTGCATATAATTTGTTGTCTGGTTAAAAATATTTGATTTAATCATTTTTTATTTTAGGCTAATGGCTTAGATGAGCGGTTCAATCAAACCATTCAGTTAATGCTTGTAAAGTTTTGCAATGACCGGCACAGTACATGGGATACTCATTTGGATGCATGTACTTTTGCATACAATACGTCAAGGCAGGAGTCTATAAAATACACTCCCTTTGAGTTAATGTTTGGTAGAAAACCCATACTTCCTATTGAATTTGAAGTTGCTGGTAAATCTCCTGAATCGTTGTTATTTGATTTTAACGCAAGACCTGAGAGTAGTCAACATTTTATGAACAAAATAATAGAGGAAAGGTATAAAGCTTTTATTGGTTTAATAAAAAATAATTGTTCCTTCTTTCTTTTCTTTTTTTCTTTCTGGTAGCCTGAAAAGCATTGTACAAAATTTAATGGTACAACAATTATTGAAAGATATAAAATATGAAAAGTTCTTTGTTTGATTTTAAATTTATTCTGAAGTTTTACAATAACTATTTATACTTTAGATCATGTATCCTAGAAAAAGCTAAAAAAAATATCGAAACAGCTCAAGAAAAACAGAAACTGCATTATAACAAGAAGCATGCTAATCCATTTGTTTATGCAATTGGATCCAAAGTCCTGATCAAGGTTTTTTTGCGGAAAAAACGAAAAGATGGAAAACTAGATTTCAGATGGCTTGGACCTTTCTGTATTTTGAAAAATTTAGGAAAGGAGTCATATCTCTTACAAGAGATAGCCACCTTAAAGGAAAAAAATGTTAATGGTGCTCACATTAAGCCATACATTACTTGTGATATTAATGTGGCAATAACAGAGGCGGATTCTTTTAAGGAATGTAGTAAAATTGGTAGTAATCATACAAATCCAACAGGCAACATCAGCGACCAGAAAAACAAATCTGATATATTTTTTACATCTAGTATTAAATCTACTCTGTTGCCAATGCAGTCCTCAAAATCTATTATATTGCCAATGCAGTCCTCAAAATTCTGCAACAATCATGATCATGATTATTGTACACCAGCAAAGAAAAAATGTTATGAAACAAATGTATCCAATAAAGATCAGAGAATTGAGATAAGTACAATTGAGGTGGAAACCTACAAAATTGCATCCAAAGAAACAAAAAAGAAGGTATTGTGGATAAAAAACAGTTTGTGTGAGTTGACATCCATTGAAAGAAATATTCTTAGGAGTGAGAATGAGTGGCTAACAGATAGCATAATTTTTGCCTCACAGAATATTTTAAAGGCACAGTCATCAATAGCTGGTTTCCAAGATCCTATTCTAGGATTAAATATGGCATTTCTTGCAATGAAAAATAGTTTTATCCAGATACTCCATGATGGATATGGACACTGGTTTACAATTAGCAATATAGGAGCGCAAAAAATGAATGAAGTTTTTATTTATGACAGCATGTTGAACTCTTTGAGTGATCAAGGGAAAAAACAGATTGCTGCCCTTTTGGTATGTCCTGAGAAAAAAATTATCATTAAAATAATGGATGTTCAAAAACAGAAAAGAGGAAATGATTGCGGTTTATTTGCTGTAGCTTTTGCTGCAGCTTTAACTAAGCAGATACAACCAGATCATTGTTTGTTTAAACAAAATCTGATGCGGGATCATTTATTGAAAAGCCTTCAAGAAACGGTTCTTTCCATGTTTCCAACAGTGAAGGTAAGTACAGAAATTGGTGGGGTTAGCCGCATTGAGGCTATAGATATTTTCTGTTCTTGTCGAATGCCGGCTGCAGGCCAAATGATTAAATGTTTTGAATGCGATGAGTTATATCACTTAACATGTTTAATTGACTATCAGAAACGTATCTGTGATATCTTCTTTTGTGATTCGTGCAAGTTATTATTTGATAATAATCTATGATATATGTATAGATTTATATCTATGGATCTATATATATAATTAATTCATTAAAACATCATATTTGTTATATACTACTTATTCAATTTTCAAGAGTTAGATATTTTCTCTCTCTGTCGAATGCCTGCTGCTGGCAAAATGGTTGAATATTTTGAATGCAAAGAGTTATATCACTTTACATTTTAAAAAAATATTATGATTTTTAACTTATAGAATAAGCTGACAGAAATAACACAAAATATGATGTTTTAATTAATTTTTTTATTATTACACATACTATCAAAGATGCCACTTCAGATACAGATATGACTGTCACTTAACCTGTGTGGTTTTTTAGTTATTTTAACTTTGTTTTTTCATATTTTAGATGTTTTTTTTGTTTAGCATATATTTTTAAGCAAAATTTGTTTTCATTATTATTTACTGGTAATATTTACGAATATCTTTATGGAAAAAAATATTTAACTAAATGTTTTGCAAACAATCTAAAATTTAAATAGATTAGAAAATATTTAACAACATTTAGAGCAATTAATCTTTTAATGAAAATTACATATTTTGAAAATTACATATAATTGAAAATTACATATAAATTACAATACATATTTGGCTTCGTAAGTTAGTCCATTTTAATATGTGTTTCTGACATATTTATTTAAGAGGTTTGAAAAAATCCTAATTCTTATGTTGATTTGTTTTTAAATTTGTTACTATTGCATTCTTCATACAATAGAAGGAGTATGTTTAATAGTTTTTGGAACATTTTCCTACCCAACGCAAGCTTATTTACCCCCCCCCCCCCATATTGATAGCGTGAAATTTGTTGAAAGAAATCTTGATAACGGAGAATTTGTTGAAAGTAATCTTGATAGCGTAGAATTTGTTGAAAGTCATGTTGATAGCGTAGAATTTATTGAAAGTCATTTTGATAGCGTAGAATTTGTTGAAAGTCATGTTGATAGCGTAGAATTAGTTGAAAGTCATCTTGATAGCGTAGAATTTGTTGAAAGTCATGTTGATATGGTAGAATTTGTTAAAAGTCATGTTGATAGCGTAGAATTTGTTAAAAGTCATGTTGGTAGCGTAGAATTTATTGAAAGTCATGTTGATAGCGTAGAGTTTGTTGAAAGTCATGTTGATACTGTTAAGTTTGTTGAAAGTCATGTTGATACTGTTAAGTTTCTTGAAAATCAAGTTGATACTGTAAAGTTTGTTGAAAATCAAGTTTTTCAAAATTTTTTCAGGTACTTCGTTCTGTTAATAATGAATTCAGTGGTTAAAAATCACAAAGTGATGTTTACCTTTTCATTCATAAACTAACAGCAATGGAAAACAACACAAATCGATAAAAGACATGGTGCAGAGACATGGTGACAAACACCAGAAACTCAGTTCAAAGGTATGTTGTTTTAATGATATGTTCATTTATGGATTTTTAAACAATTTATAGTCAAGTAAATTATTTCAATTGGAGAAGAATTGTTATTTTTTTAGGATTCGTAAGTAAATTCCTTGTGAACTTATAAAAATTTTTATTTTTCGATATGCAATTGCATTTTTTGACAAAATATAATTTGTTTTAAAGTTTTAAATAATTGTGTAGTGTAGACGTTAGGGCAGTGTAAAAAAAAATATTTGTGACAAAAACTAATTTTATTTTGTAAAGCTGTGAACAGTACAAATAAAATTTATATAGACAAGTAAAATGAAGTATATGTAAACTTTACATAGAATAAATTATTTTGTTTATTTTAAAATTTTTAAATTTGTATAATACAAATGGATTTGAATTTTCTGCGTGATAACTTCTCTATAATAATAAATTTTATTTAAATATTTCAGATAAAAATTATTTAAAGGGTACTTTAAGAGTTAGAAAAATATCTCAAATGCATAAAAATTGTGATGTAAGTCCATCCTTTAGGGCACCAAAATGCTGAAAATAAAGTTGTGAAGGTACAAGTGTCTCTTCAGTACTTACTGAAGTACGAACACCTTTAATCGTAATTATTTTTGCAGTTTCATATTGCTTGTATGTTTGGTGGACCTAAATTTCTTGTGAAAATGTTACCTGTAAACAAATTAAATTTTCAATTTTTATATGATCAAATTCATTTGACTGTTGAAGCAGTTAAGGAGTCTAATGGCAACGCAAAGGCAATCCTTGCTTGTGATGGAAATCGAACTAATCAAGCATTTTTTTAAAAATTTGACACATTTCCTGAAAAACCTTGGCTAACCACCAATGGAACCTATTTGTTGTTTGACTTTGTCCACTTAATCAAAAACATCCGAAACAATTGGCTCACAGAAAAAAAAGGAGGATTAATTTTTTATGAAAATGGTGTTGAGAAAACAGCTTGTTGGAGTCATTTGATAACTTTTTGAAGCTGATTCTAATTGTCTAATGAAACTTTCTGATTTGAATGAAGTTTCTGTTCGACCCAGTCATATTGAAAGACAATCTGTTTCTACCTGTCTAAAAGTGTTTTCTGAAAAAACATACAGCGCTTTACTTAATCATCCTGAAACCTCCAACATCTTAAACATAAATGAGACTGCTGATTTTATTAAAATGGTTGTTACATGGTGGAAATTTTTAAATGTAAAAAGTGTGGGTGTAGATTGTAGGTTTAATGATGATCGAAAAGCTGTCATCAGAGATCCAAATGATGATAGATTAAAATTTATTTGGGATTTCGGAGAAATGGCATTACGTATGACAAGTAATCAAGGGAAGCGTATAAAACAATTAACACATGATACAGGATATTCCATAAATCATACATGTAAAGGAATTGTTGAGTTGACAAAAACACTATTAAAAGAAAAACACAAATATGTTATGTTGGGAAAATTTACAACAGACCCACTTGAAAAAGAATTCAGCAAGTTAAGACAAGGATCTGGTGGCACATATTTTTTAAGTGTCCAGCAAATAATTGAAAAATTCAATATTTCTAAAACTTCACTTTTGTTGTCATGTAACATTAAAGAGTCAACCCCTGATGCAGGACATTCTTGCCAATTTTGTGGATTTTTACTTGATGAATCTTCAGCTGAGGTCTTTGATAATTTACCAACACTAGAAAAAAGTATAACTGTTCAATCAAAGATGTCTCTTGTTTATATTGCCGGATATGTGTCTCGTAATGATGATTTGCTTAATAAAAATGAACTTTTAACCAAAACAATGTTTTATTTTGAAAAGTTTAGTCAATATCTAAAATCAGTCGATAGAGGTGGGTTAAAATTCCTTTTGATAATACTGTTCAATGGGTTTTCTTCTCATTTGTACTATTTAACTCTATTAAAGATAAAGTTTGTCGGTCATCCCTGTGCAACACTTTTATGCTTATATCGGATCATTATTCTTTTGACATGGAACGACATCATGGTAATATACTGTCAAATATTTTTATCAAAAACCACTGCAAACTTTCCACACCAAGATCGAACAAAGAACCGTCTCTGAAAATTTTAAAGTTGTCTTGTTAAGTTGACAGTTATTTATTGACACTTATGCTGTTATTTCTTTATTGAAATTTATTAATTGATTTAAAGTTTCTGTTTTATGATTTTAAAAGTATTTCTTATTTATTTAAATCACTAAAATATATTCCTATTTAAAGGTGCAGTTACCCCCTAACAGTACTTTATTTAACTTTTGTTTTTTACCTGATATAAAACTTTTTTATTTCATTATTTAAGCAATTTTATGAATTGAAACAATTAAATAAAGTTTATTGTTAAAAACTTAAAAAGATTTCTAAATTGTACAAATTTTTACATAGTTTAATGCTTTATATAACGGGAGCAACATATTTTGTTTTTAAAAAATTATCATATTGATTTTTGAAATATCGGCCCCCACATTTTTTTCTAAGTTTTGCGTGTGACGGCCTGTTACTTATAGATCGCCGTGCTTAAAAGCATAAAAGCATAAAGCTATAAAAGTAGTGCAACGTTGTCGTGACATTTAATTTAAAGAAAAACTTAAAAGCAATGATAAGAGAATTGTTGAAAAAAAATTTAGAAACAACTGATCTGCGAATTTAAAAATCAATTTGTCACAATTGATGACGTGACTTGAAAATCAACTAATCGGACTTCATTACCGTGACTTTAAAAGCCGTTTTTTGTAAGAATCAGGCAAATTCGGGAAAAAGTGGAAGTATTCCCCTCCAAATTGCTTAAATTTTTTATATATTGTTCAGAATATAGAGAAAAACGTTTAGGACAAAAATAATTCTAAAAACGTTTTCTTCACTCAGAATCCGCCTTTAAAATTTTGAAATTTGTTCTAGAAATTTAGTTTTTGCCATATTTGAACCCATTTTTTGGGAAGAAATTTCACATAACTAGGGAAAAAGTTTAGAGAAGAAGTTTCACATAACTGTTATAGCTAATATCACACGTAACCCAAAAAACTTTGTTTAAAAAATAAAAAATTGCTTAAAACTGAGCGATTGACTTATCAGTTTAAAAGTACAAAAATATAAAGTTTTGTTAATTTTTAATGTTTATTTCTTAACGCGGAGAGTTGCACATACATTTTTTGCAGGATGTAGTATCATAGGGATTTAGTCTGAAAATGCACAGAAAGTTATGTGACACCTGAAACCTATCCAAATATTAAGGTTTAAACTTGAAAAATAATCAAATAGTGTTCTTGCAAAACGACCCGTTACCCGTTAAACCGGAGGTTTTGTAAAAATGTCAATGTAACATGGTGCTAACATAATAGTAAAGAAAAATTCGCGTGATCTTGTTACATACATGAAATAACACGAATAAATTGAACAAAAATCGAACATCAAGAAAACAGTTTTGCTTATACAATGATACATAAAAGAAACATTTAAATGTATTTCCATTTAAAAATCAATTTTCCATTAATAAATAGAGTTATTTAGATGCTTTAAATAAATGATCCAACCCAAGCCGTCGCTAGCCCACTAATGCCCCCTACGAGGTCGGAGGGAGAACAAATTTAGGAGCCCTTTTTTAATATTTAGAGGTCTTTCTTCCAAATTTAAGATTTTTAATTTTAGTCTTAAGCATGCAAGTTTTTGAAGTGCTTTTATTTCGCTTCGCTCAAAACAAGTAACAGCGATACTTTCCTTTTAGAATCTACTCAAACAAAGAAACTCTTATTTCAAGCAGTTTTAAGAACATGACAGACAAAGAAAAGCAATAATATAACATAGATGAGTTGTTGACTTGATGAAAATCCCGGAAATTTTTTTTCTAGGAAAATACCGAAAAATTATATGGTCAACTAGTTGACGAAGGTATGTGGATATACTCTGGAATGATGGTAAAGGGATAGATAAATTAACTAAAAACTACTGAATAATTATTTTTCTTCAAAATTCTTTAAAATCAAATACAATGTCTCAGTTTTACCGTAAACAGTTTGCAAAGAGTAATAATTTATTTACTTTTTAAATATAAAATCTGAGAAAATGGTTGAGAAATTAATACTTTTAGTAATAG